TAATTTTTTTGCGTGTGTGTGTTGTGATTTTGAGTCACCATATCTATCTGTTTCCATTACACTAACAGAGTTTGTCTCTCGTCATATGTGGAGGCCATTAAAAGTTTCCTCATGCTCAAGCTGTATGCTATAATACACAAACTGGAGTGCTCTCTCTCGCATTTTTTCTAATTTTGTTGAAGTTTTTTTTCATTGCCAAGCAAAAATTAAAATTACTCAATATAAAAGTAAGAAATATAGCGTGTTTTTTCAAAATATTAAGCTGCTGAGATGCATTTCTTCACAAATTACATTAATATGTATATCGAAATTTAACTGGTATTCAATGTCTATGCCCAACAATTTAACCACAGCCTTGCAAGATGAATTAGAATTTTTAATATGTATTGATGGGCTCTTCGCAAAAGTTTTTTGGTCAATTGCTAACACCTGGAATTTGTGAGGATTAAATAGCTTGCATTTTATTAAATTCAAACCATTCAATCAATTGTTTGGATTCGTTTTCTAATTTAGATATTAGCTGGTCAAAATCAGGACTACATAATGACAATGTGTTGTCATCTGCGTAGTTATACATTGAGCTGAATAACATGAAAAACGTTAAACAAAAAAGGTACAAGATTAGAACTCTCTGTCTTTTTCAATGAATTTCCAAAGAACAATCCTTATATGCACATGTGTATGTAGTTCAGTGGTTGTCGTTTGTTCATGTCTGTCATATTCGTTTATCGTAAAATATTTTGTTATAAATTAGGCCGTTAGTTTTCTCGTTTGAATTGTTTCACATTTTTCATGTCGTGGCCTTTTATTCTGTTCCAGACTATACGGTATGAACCATATATTTGTAAATGTAGATTATCTGCCTAAAGTCCCAATGTTGAAATCGCCAAATGTTATGATATTGAAAGAGAGTTATCATATCTCATCTCCTTATTTTTATATTACTAGTTCTATAACATGTGTGATAATCGTCATGTAGTGTATGAATACCATTTTATTATTGAATGCGATAAATATGCTGATGTTAGAAAGAAATATATATATATATATATAAAACTTTTTTTTGGAAAAATGTCTTGTTGATATGAAAATTAAACGCCAAACTCTTTTCTTGGTTGTTTTGATGGTTTGAAAGATTTTGCGTTGGTCATTTGTTATATGATATCGACCAGTTAGTAAACGTTTGAAACTGACGCTGCTTGACCGAACACTTGTTTTTGTAAGAGTATAAATATTGTCTAATCACAACATCAAAAGATCTAATCAACCCAGATAAATGCCTATTACACAGTAGATAGTTCATAATTTAATGTAAATATTCTCTAAATCACTGAGGTTATTTCATGACTATTTGTAACGTAAATTTTATAACTGCCTTTGAATAATAAACTTTTGTTATTATTATTATTATTATTATCATTTTTATTATTATGATGTTGATATAAGTAACTTCGGAGAAAATCCGATGACAAATGAATCAGATAAAAAATGGAGTACTCATTCTATTACAAAGTTGAACAAAAAGATGTTTTCAAAATGGAAAAGTTTCACCTGTGTATGTTGACGTAAATTATGTAATAGACTTTCAGTATTAATCTGTTCTGTGTAGACAACATACCTACGTATCCAATACAATGTGAAAAAATTGTACTGAGTTTAATAATAGATGCAGTTGTAATCATTTGTAAAACTAGCAGATTTTAAACTATTGAACATAAAACTTCACAATTCTTAATATATGTATACTTGATTGATTAGTGGTTGCTTTGCACCTGATTGCATAAAAATATTTGGTGCAAGTTCAGGACCAGAACAAATTAAAAGCCAGTAGACTGTAGAACTACGCAGACTAATAAATAGAATACAAGTTTTACTGACACAGGAAAAATACATTTTATTTGATTACAGAAATAAGAATGTCACTTGTATGAACCCCCGTTCCGAAGAGTTGCCGATCGGTTTTCGTGGACTGAAATTCCCCAATTCGTGCATATGGAATAAACGGTTTTTTTTAGCCTGGACTTGGCAATGTATTTATATAGCCTGACAAACGTCATACGTACGACCCCATTAGTCTTGCTGCGAGACAGAATTTGGGATATCTTTCTTACTATGCACTCGCATAAATAAATGCATGACAAATAAGGTGCCTACATTCGAACAAACAATTACATAATTTACATGTTTTTTGCGTGTGAGATTTAGTCGACAAATATAGTCTTTAAATAAGTACATTGAAAAATATATATATATATATATATATATATGTATATAGATATGTAGATTGCATCCATATTTCAGTCGGAAGATCTATAATATGGTAGAAGAAATGATGCCTCTCGAATTCTTTATACTGTAATGAAATCAGCTGCCATTGTAAAAGACATTTATCATTTATTTGGTCATGTACAATAGATATATTTTTAGTATCTGAGTGTTCAGTTGCACACAGTACAAACATACCGTGTCCAGGGACCGGTAAAATAGGCGATTGATTATTGGTTGTACAGATCTACAAGGTATCTGAACTCTGCTTTTACAAAGCGCAACTCTTATGACCTCAAATAAAGAGTTTTTGCAAGGATTCTGGCATTTCTCAACAATGATATTCGGATTGGTCGGATAAGACGATTGTTGTTTTGTGTGTGCATATTGTAGATCTCGGATGCAGTTTAAAGTATCTATTGTTGTAAAATATATACAATAAAGTTATTATAAATAGTAGGACATTATCCTGTGTTAGTCTTCCGGTTATTCGACGAGTTAATATATAGTGCGATATAACTTAAAATTATGAATTTGTCTACAGGCCAATTTATAGCTTGCAATGCAGTTACGGCGATCTAGCTTGTCATATGATTAAAGAGCTTGTCTTAAGTTGGAGACCGGATGGTGACCTATATATATATATATACTAGTATATTAATGGTGTCAAGTTGCAGTCTCACTGACACAGTACTTCATGTATTTATTGTTTTGAAATTTTACATATAGCCACGTATAACAGATGGTGTGTGAGTGGTTTATATGTTTGTGTTTTTCGCCTTTAGATATTTCGTGTTGATGGCGATTTTTTTTTATTTTCCCTGTTGAATATAGTCGCCATTTATTTAGACTAGAGGGATTTTCCATAATTGGTATTGACACATGGTTGGAAACTACATGTTGACCTATAGCTGTCTATTTTTGTATGTGTTGTTGGATTGCTGTCTTTTTGGTGAATACCTCACGTATTTTTTTTTATTTATATTTAACATTTTATAATTATCATAATCTTTTATTAATAAATAACCACTTTTGGTACTTTGGATGTTTCATTTTCACGAAAGCAGCAATTATTCGAATTAATTTTGCTAGGAATGCGTATGTGAGGACATTTATTTTTGTCACACTTTTATCTTATTTTCAATCACATTTTTTATTTGTTGTTTTAATTTGATTTATAATTTTTGCTCCCCAACCATGGATGGTCTTTTAACATCGAAACTGTCAGTCTTTTAATCCGAGTGGTGAATTTATATTGTTTATAAGCCCCCCAGTACACAAATATGCATAGCTAAGGCTCCTATGGACTCGTAAATATAGTTCAATGCAATGGATTGTAATAGTGTGGTTCTGCGACTCTTTTCACAAAAAATCTTACGATTAAAATTGATCGCAAGTTATACTGAAATGTGTATGACTTACGAGTATTTTTACTCTTAAGATTTTTTGTGAAAAGAGCCGCAGGTGAATAGGTCAATGAGACATAATTATACAAACATCTTAAGGATATCTAAGAGTTTAACATACGGCCTTCAACAATGGACAAGCAGATGTCTATTCGCTATACCAAGCAAGTGTAAAAGTTGTGAATACAAAAAAATGATAGTGTGAATATTAAAATTGTTTTTTGTCAAAAAAAGTATCAGATTCGCTTTATTCTAACCTGTCTATATGTACCAGAACCCGTCGGCTTTGTTTATGTCGCTGTTGTTTATTGAGGTTTGTATTCTGTAAACAAAAATAATTCATACATGCTATGGTATTTTATAGATGCTTTGTAATTTTCCTATTCTTTGCTGAGTATATGATGATATATTATATACCTTTTTATGCCCCCGCCGTAGCGGAGGGGGCATTAAGTTTTACCCTTGTCCGTCCGTACGTACGTCCGTACGTCCGTACGTCCGTCCGTCCCAAAGTTGGTTTCCGTTCTCTAACTTAAGTTTGCCTCAACCAAATGTTATAAACTTATACACAATGCTTATTACCACAAAATACAGATCAAATTTGAATTTTGGTGGTGTCACTTTAACCGTTCTAGAGTTATGCCCTTTACAAATGGAAAAATTGCTGAATTTTTCGTATCCGTTCTCTAACTTAAGTTTGCCTCAACCAAATGTTATGAAACTTATACACAATGCTTATTACCACAAAATACAGATCAAGTTTGATTTTTGGTGGTGTCACTTTTACTGTTCTAGAGTTATGCCTCTTTACAAAAGGAAAAAATGCTGAATTTTTTGTTTCCGTTCTCAAACTTAAGTTTGCCTCAACCAAATGTTATGAAACTTATACACAATACTTATTACTACAAAACTCAGATCAATAACAAATTTGGGTAGCGTCACTTTTACCATTCTTCAGTTATGTCCCTTTATAACTTTATATGATATGCAAGCGGGGGCATCATCTGTGTCCCATGGACACATTCCCCATTTATTTTTAAATATATTAACCAATACTTCCCATTACATTACAGAATAACAATTTTACTTTTTATTTGCTAACTTCAGTTAGCGTGAAACAAAATCACTGAATAGATATAAGAAGATGTGGTATGAGTGCCAATGAGACAACTCTCCATGCAAGTCACAATTTGTAAAAGTAAACTATTATAGGTCAAAGTACGGCCTTTAACACGGAGCCTCGGAGTTTTCCATTTAGAATTCAGAAGTACAAAAATAGTAGTGGTATAATTTCTTCTTTCATTTTTTTTTCTCTAATTTTATTTTCAGTGAAAAGTACTATTATAATGTAGCCTCATTATGGTGTTAGATATTATGTCAGCTCCTAAGCTTCCAGCCCGAGTACCATCACAGAGAGGGAGACCTTTACCGGAAACACCTAACAGTCCTTCGCATTTGTCAACACACCAACCTCCAGTTAAAAATCGAGCCTTACCGCCACCTCCGGCACAAAATGTAAACAGTTCTCCGCATAATCATGCGAGTCAAACCACTCGCCGAGTTCAAGTATCAAACTCGTTAAACACAAGTGGACAAACTTTAAATAAACGTCCTCTACCTCCGCCACCTGCGGAAGACAGATACGTGAGCAGTCCCGTAACACCGCATGAACATAATAGTGTTTCAACTTTACGTCGTGGATTACCTCCAGTGCCAAATGAATCATCAACATCTGAGTCTCAAAAACGGCCATTACCACCACCACCAGCCAATGATACTATACCACCAATTCCACCAAATAGCAGATCATCACCTAAACATACAGCTAATGGAAACGTACCCATTAGATCAACGAATATAGTACCTAACGCGTTAGAAGTTCCACCTAAGTTACCAGCTAGAAAATCAAGTGTTTCACACAGCCATGGCTCTTCTACACCAGGTAAAAATTGTATCTAGTTCATAAAACCTACAAATCGTCATTATTCATGGCAATGTTACGAAACATGTTTATATATTGCTTAAATGAAAGTCTCCGACAGTTGGAAAGTTTCTATGTTATCTGTTATATCAAAAGGGAAGTAATTATTTATGAGTAATGGGCTTGGTTTTCAATTTTCCAAATGTTCTATAATAAGATTTTTTAACTGATTAAGTATAGGTTTAAAGATAATATCTGCCATTGTTCAACATCCTTTGTCAGTTATAAGTTTAAGGAGCATTGGTTTATTTTATTCACAAACCAAAAACTGCCAATTACTATACTGTAAGCATACAGTTGTTCCGCATAAGAGACACACCTACATAATTTGTTTTGTTCCTTTTAGAATAAATATTAAATGTTCCCGGCTTTGAGCGTTCCTGATGAAGGTAAATCCAGAAAAGCTCTTCGGACGCATTAAATTTTTAACGTGTTGTTTTCATTCTTTTTTTAATCGTTGCGTTACATACTGAATAATACATAAGGACAAATGTAATTTGCAGTTGCGTTAATGTAACGTAACGATTAAAGAGAGATAACCCCGGTTCAGAAGCAAAATTTTACTATATGACGTTGCGCACGATGTTGGTACGAATTCCATTTTGCTATAGATTAGCATGAAAATAAATACGTAGACTGATCAGTTCGATAAAAATATAGTGATTTTTGGTTGAATTTATTACATTAGACTTGAAAATAAAGAAAAAAGGAACCGAAATTTAAAATATCAAGAATTATAACACTTAATTATCCCATTTTCACGCAAAAACGTAATGTCCAACGTTACATTTTGTGTGCAAAAGATCGGAGTTCCGTTTCTTTCCTACAGTATTTTTTTTCTGACCATCGCAAAACTTCACAAGCATATTGCTATTGTTATTGTTATTCCCGTGTTAAAGCAAAATCAATATCACTGAAACCGTAAACCGGAAAATGTTATTTTTGAAAACGGTCTGAAAAATGTCCAAGCATATGCAAGGTAAGCATATATCGGGTTTGCGCATTTATACCGTGAAATTGGAAAAGCTGAGAGGAAAAATATTTATGATATTTTGAAAGTTTTTTCACTTTTCTCCTGGTTCATGATATTTTTTGGCCGGAAACCATGCGTATAGTTTCTATTGCAATGACTTCAAAAATTATCATCTTGTCCTAACGAAAAAAACGCTGTATTTTCTTTACAATTGAGGTTTTAACAGGCTGTATATTAAATAAGCATAGTTAGATCAAAGAAAATAAAACTTGGCGGTAAAAGTTTTTTTCTTTTTCTTTTTAAACAATATAGTGTTTAACATTTTTTCGATAGGCAACAAGATGTTTATATCGTTTCAAAAAGTATAGCCGTTTTGTCCCAACGTTCGCAAAACGTAATTGATGTCATGCTCAGGTTTTTGATTTTATTTCATAATTATTTGTTTCCAGTTTATTTCGAATCAAAATAAAAAATATAAGTTATAATATAACCAATGTATGATAAAGGAAAAGTTTAAGTTTAAATTCAAATGTTGACCAAATGAGATTGATATAAAAAATATCGGGATCTTAGTTTTTTTCAGCACATTCATGACATTTGCTTTATTCAAGGAACGTTGTCTATCTGCAAGTTTTAAATCATCAAAAGCAACATGCATAATTTTTTTGTTAATAAAATAGAATAGAGAAAAACCATTGCTGGCTATTATAACAAAACAAAGGATATGCATAATGCCACAAAAATACGGAAATGAGAAAAACATGAATCCAAAATGTTTAACTACCTAGAAATTTTGCGACAAAAAAAGCATCGGGAAATGATAAAATATAGAAAGGAAACGGAAACGGAAATAAATGCAACAAAAGGAGTATGTATAAACATGCATTAAAAAGGGAAAATAAAATCAAAATCTAATTTATATTAAAAGGAAATCTGTATAACTTTGGAAATATAATGTATGATTCATTAATGCGAACTGCTGCCAAAAGTAAAATGATCAATTATGGCCTGGTATGACTGACAACTCCTATAAATGAATAGTCATTAAAAAAATATGTGTACGACCACTTTGAGTTTTATTTGTTAAACTATGCATTTTCAGACAAACCGAAATCGGTTACCAAATTCACAACAGTAAATTGACCTCATCAATTATAAGCTTGAACGCTTGAAACGTTCTTTGAAATCGTCGAAATCGCTTCATTATGCGGAACGTCGTGGTAACGCTTTAAGTAGTACCAACATCGTGCGCAACGTCATATACGAAATCTGTATTCATACATGTTATTGTCCTATTTTTCATCTTTTGGATTATAATCTAACGTGAATTTTATATACGCTTTTCTAAGATATAAAAGAAATTAAAAAAAAAGTCGATGAGGATGGCTAGGACGAAAAAAAACAAAATAACCCATTATAAATTAAATAAAAAAACTAAAGATTGAGTTACTCGGACCCTACCAAAACTTTATGAGTAAGCAGTTACTATTCGACCACTAGTTACATTCGTCCTGTTGATATATTAAATGTCGATAATCAACTGTGATGGTGATAAGATACGTACATGCATCATGCAATAAACGGGTCCAAATTATAAATGTATTTTTTGAAGATCTCATTTTACAATATCCATAGTAGAACGGTTCTTTTTGGTTTAAGTCAGTGATCCCTGATTTGTAACTGTTTGAAGCGATATTAAGGAACACACGAGGAAAAGACATTTGATATCAGTTAACATATTTAAAAGTAAAACTGAGATCCATGTGCATACATCTAAACGAAAATGCAGCACTCTGTTATATGTACATGCTACCGAAATATTTGACACTTTTTGTATTTTCCAATGTAACAATTCATTTCTGTATAAAATGTTATCCTTTTAACTATAGGAGATAACTGATTGGAAACGATGCAAACCTTTGCCTTACAAATTTAGTAAAATCCTTGAATTGATTCATAAAATATACAAGTACAATCTATTATCAGATAAGAAGAATAGAAGAATAGAAACATATCTATGAGATTTTAATTAAATGTAATTATATATTGTTGCCAGAGTTAGCTGGTTCACTGCAAGATGATTGATATACTTATTAAATGTTTCTAAATCACACTTATTGCAAAACAGTATACCGTCCTATTTGATAATTTGAAATCCAGTTTTTACAGAAAATCTTGAAATAATATAGAAAGAGAGAATTATGAACAAACAATTTAAAAAATAAAACAGTAAAGTCAAACAGATCAATTTTATTGTGTTTACAAGAACTTTTACTTCATCATGATATTTTATGGTCAGTCGTTTAAAAAGCCACAAATTTATATGCTTTCTAATGTATATAATTAAGACAACTGTCTAATTAGGTGATTGTAAGAAGTAGAGATGAGATACGTGTGTGCTGGAAAACATACAGTTGAAAACAAACTTAGTTTAAAGCGTCATTCATACAACAGATTTTATAAAAAATACTAATAATACCTGATTACCTATCCAAAAAATAATGATGTCATTGCGCCCAAGACTTGGATTACTACGGGGAATAGGGAAAAGGGATATCATGACAGATTGTGTGTTTTGTGTACTGTGGTTTGTCTGTTTGTCTTTTTCTTCTTTGGCCATGGTTTTGTCAGTTTGTTTTCGACTTATGAGTTTGATGTCCCTTTGGTATCCTTCACCTCTCTTATAATTACAAAATAACTACAAAGCATGTCAGGTAAACGCCTTCATAGAAAATTCTATATTTCAGATTTGGAAACACGTTTCCGGTTCCATGATGTTAAAGATTTTCCTCATCCTGAAGAATATCAGGACCAGGAAAAGAAATATCCAAGTCAATCAGAAACAAATGTTAAAGCAAGTAAGTATCAACTTTTAAGGAAAAAATGGTAGCTTTTTGTGAAAATTTCGTTGAAAATTACTTTGTTAAAATATACTTTTTCACTATTTTGGTCTTTTGGAAAATGTTGTTTGTGCTGTATTTAGACCCCTCTACCATATATATATCGGGTTTTTCCTGTCTGTTTTCATCGTTCAGCTCTATATGAAATTGCATATCAAGGTTTTTTGACGTCAAATATGTTGACACGGCATTAATTACTTTGACCCGGACTAATCATCGACATTATACAGTTTGCACAGACGTTGGTACGTTTGACCAGAACCTCTTCTGGCATGTTGGAAGCACAGACAAACTATTGTTTCTAGAACGAAAACGACAAATACATTGTAATATCCGATAAATAAAATTATCAGATTTTTATCACATTGATCATATTGCCCGACACAATATGAAGCCTTTTGTACTAGTTCGCTGCGCTTGCTGAGAAACAACTTAATAATTTGAATAGCATCTGATATTTCTAAGTATCAATATTAAGAAAACTTGATAGTCGGTACTGGGAAATCGGATTGATTCACCCACAATCACTAGCATTCACTCCCTACGAGTGCCTTGAACTTATAAAACCAAAAGTAAACCAATGTACATACAAATAAATACGTAGAATTACATTCAAAACAACTAAAAGGACGTCTTCTTGTCCCTGATTACCACCGTACCAAACTTAGATATATTACTTGAATAAAAGATTTAATATTACATGCAAAGAAAGTTTTTTACTGATTTAAAAAAAAATTGCAAGTTAATTTCATTTAGAAGTCAATGTTTTTAAGTACTAAGTCGAAAAATATCCATCGTTTCTGTGACACAGATTCCGTATCGGTCAACCAAGTCATTCATGATTTGACACGACCATCTTCAGAAGTTACTGACTTGATCGTTAACATTAGTAACCCTAGGTTCAGAAGCAACAACCATCTGTCAATGAAATCCGGACAAATGAAGGAAACACAAGCTCTGAAATATATCAACTGAAAGATGTATTAAACATTAAATGCAGGTGCTGCTGGGATATTACAACATACAAGTCAACGACGGGAAATTGATTGCATCTCCTTTTGTCAATGAAATCGGTCTTTTTCTTTAATAGTATAGATTTATTTAACCTTGATAGTTTGTTTAATAAAATTAATATCTTATTAACTTGCACCATAAAGTAATTTATCTAGATATAATCTGCTGAATATTACTTTAACAGCAATAGTTGACCAGAAAATACATACCTCAGAGAACAACACTTTATAAATTTCGTGCATCCGAAGCGCTTTTCTGGATTTACCTTCATCAGAAATGCTCAAACCTAAATATTTGAAAGCTAGGGATGTAGAAATACGTAAAAACGTTAGGAGGTTTATGACCAGAAGGGATCTAAAACGAATAGACTATTCACTATTCGTTAGTCAAAACCTTCAGAAATGATGACTATGGGAATCAAATAGATTCAAATTAAAAATGGTTTTAATATTTGTATTCCTAAAACGTGTGGTTAACGAATAGACTATAAACTATACGTTAGTCAAAACCGTCAGAAATGATGACTATGTGAATCAAATAGATTCAAACTACAAATAGTTTTAATATTAGTATTCTTAAAATGTGTTGTTAACGAATAGACAATACACTATACGTTAGTCACACCTTTTGAAATGATGACTATAGGAATCAAATAGATTCAAACTACAAATGATTTTAAAATCAGTATTCTTAAAATGTGTGGTTAACCGAATATAATAAGTCAATTTCCACCTGGTTCCTTGACTCAGCTGACGCCAAGGTTGAAATAATACCATGTTAAATTATACGTATGACGCATGTTAAAGATCAGCGTAATCTTAAGTCGTTCCTTAATTCTAAAAGGTGAAAATAAAATCTAGAAAAACAACTGAAATTATTAATCACCTTTTTTATCATTGCCTTTTTGAAATCACATTTAGAAAAATAATAAATCGACTTAAATTGACGGATTAAAAAGAAATATCGAAGACCAAGGGGACATGAAAGACAACGAAAGTAGAACAAATATTAAGTTGAGTTGTCACTTTTTAGGATTATTCCCTACTTTGAAATGATACTTAAAGTATTTATAATCGACTAAAGTGAACGGTAAATATGAAAAAAAATCGAAGACCAGGGGACATGAAAGAAACTGAACAATTTTGCATTGTGTAGTTAAAAAAAATCTGTTTGTATATAAGAAATAGATTTGTTTTGGTCCCTTGAATTAGAATGTTAAAAATCAAGAAACACAATTATACAAATCCATCAAATAAAATACTTCTTAACATTGCTAACATTTTTAATAAACTGTCTTAAATACAACATATATATGCGAATGAGACAACTAAAGTCCAGATGAACAACGGACAAGGATGTAACCGTAAGGCTTGAGCAATACTTTTTCCGTAGTGTCTCGCGAGGGAGACTATTACTTTTATTGATTTGACCAAACACTTGTACAAAATGGCAATTTTTCATGTCTATTTTGATATGTTTATGTTGTCACCATAGCATTAGATTACATGCACTAAGGTGACCATGCAGAGTATATTGTAATTGATTTTTTTCATTTATTAACGAAATTAACATAAATTTTAAAGTCGAAGAATTCCATTACTAGTTTATCTTATTTGACGTTTATTCAATTATTGTATCAAACAATGTGTCGAAAACCACTTTTTTTAGCATACCCAGCATATACATAAACGAGGAATACTTTTGGCCAAACATTTACATTATATAAATTAATAGTTCACTTATCAAGAAATTGTGTAATTACATAACTTCAGCATGGTTAATTGGATCACATGTTATTGCTTAACGTATCTTGTTTTTATTTTTACATTGTGTATTGCTCTCTATTGCTTTGTCATCATATTGTTAATATGTTTATGCTGCTTTAGCATACTTTATTTTTTGTTTTGTTTTTGTTTTTTGTTTTTTTGCAATAAGGTAAATATCAAAATAAGAAGATTGAAGTATGATTGACAATGAGACAACTCTCCACAGAGATCAAACATGGCATAGAAGTTAACAACTATAGGTCATCGAATGGCCTTCGACAATGAGCAAAACCCATACCGCATAGTCAACTATAAAAGGCCCCGAAATAACAAATGTAAAACAGTTCAAACGAGAAAACCAACGGCCTGTTCATTCATTAAATTTTTCAATTTCAGGGGCCAAATAGTAGTTCTTATAAAACTCTTTTTCGTTTATCAAAACTTCTTTTAACAAGTCTAATTCATAATTGTTGAAATGAAATATTATAAATTTAATGAAATAAAATTGATTGCAGACTATTTGATCCTATTGAAATTATACCATATAGAAAGACAGCAATTACAAAACAATATAGAACAATAGAAAAGACAACACTAGCCACAAACATTGGACTTCCTCGAGGAAAACCCAGACATACAACACAGAACAATAACAACGAAAAATACATGTCCTGATAGTTTCACTTGGTACAGGCATAACATGTAGGTGGGATAAACCACAAACAATGTTCTGCCTTAAAGTGATAAAGTATATCTGAAAATATATAAAATATATAAAATATATAAAATATACAAAATAAAAATTATTTGTTCAACATTTGTTTCTGAATGATATAACTCTTAACAGACTAATCTATATTTCACCTTATATAAATATCATCAACGAGATTAGTGTTCTGTAAACTGAATGACAACACGGGGTAGATCTTTACAGTCAGAAAATTTTGTCTAAATAGCGACACAATTTGTCAAATATCGTAAAACATTGATCATAAAACTCCTTTTTATATTATTTCAGGACGACGAAAAAGGACATCGCCGAGATAGCAACTGACGAAAATCTAGTGTAACTTTAAGGACTGTTTTTTAAATTATTTTTGAATATTATAAAAGCGCGACCTGTGCAGTTTATATAACATTTGGAGAAAGTAGTATTGGAAGCATACTATAAGCATAGTTCAATGCTAAGTACTTATAACTCGCATTTCATTTTACTAAAAATTCATTATATAATCAAGAAAACGTGCCATTTTGTCTATAAAACTATAAATCATATAACATTGAAACTGGATTTTAATGAACAGTAAAGTTTTCAATTGGTACAAATACATTATTAGATTAAAACTTTCAGTCTTAATGGGTTTCTTAATGTCAGTAGTATATACCCAAAATAATGGACCAAGGTAGCTTTGAGAAAGTGCGTCTTTGTAAATAGAAAAAAATATTTCATAGTAAACAGTACTTCCGAATTACAAATTCCTAACTACCATGTCCATGCTTTAGATATTATATTTAATAATATATATATATATTTATATGAAATAAGAAATTTATTAATTAAATCTTAAAACAGATGAAATTTTGTCGTTTGTGTTTTTTCAACGTAGAGTTCAAGAAAAATAAGTTCTGTACACATAATTATATCTTGTTGAATTTTAAAAATAAGATTGTTGTATGTTCGCTTATGAGAGCAGTTATCTACTCATTATGTTTCAACTTGATACTATTTATCTTCAAATCTTTGAATACAGAGTAAATTACTTGAAGTTTGGGGCTAGTGACAAACGACAGACACATGGAAACTGAAACTATGAGTGTTAGGTTTTAATGTTACAAGTAAAAACCTCTTCAATTTACAAGAACATTTTAGTGTTATAATTTGACTTCGATGTGTGTTTTACGTAAACAAATCAGAGCCACTGCAGTTTATCTGTTTCCAATAATCTCGGTAATCAAATTTGAATATACAAATCAAAACCAAAAAAAAATCTGAATATCAATCAGCAAAATAAGGGTATGTTAGATAGGAATATATATTTGCTTTGCAAAAGGACAAAAGGGGAAAATAGGCAGAATATACCAAACGGAGAATCACAAAGCTCACAAGTTGAAACGAAGCCGACAAAATCATGACAAAAACGAAAATCTACAAAAAACAGTCTGCTTAACACTACATACATAACTAAAGACTGACCACACACAAGACGGGGGTTATACAAATGTAGCAGGTGTTCCGGAAGGGTAAGCATATCCTGCTCCACGTGTGGCGCCCGTCGTGTTGCTTATGGTAAGTTCAAATTCGGTGTAACGTCTCATTAGTTGATATCACAATCGAGGAAAAGATAACGAGAGAAGCGCTACGACAGTTTAAACATATCCGTGGTTATCTGTGACAGGTTTTTTTCATAACGGTCAATCATCTCCGTAAAATTTCCGAAAGGGATAACTTCAACTTTTCGACTAGGTATCCTTGGTTCAATAGCTTCCTTGTGATCAGCAACCATCTATCAAGGAAATCATGAAAGGAAACGCAAACCTCTGAAATATCGTACCAACAGGGAGATACATACTCTATATGAAGGCGCTGCTGTAATGTTGCTACATGCAAATTGCATGTTAACAGTTGGAAAGCTGAAATCATCATCAACATCACCAATCTTTGAATGATTTGGTGAGGGAACATCATCTTTACAGAGGAACGATAATGCTAGCTTCTATTCGTAACGTACATGTCAAATTTGCCGAAAATGTTTTCGATCAAACAACGATATCAACGCATATTTTAACGTTTATAACGTTAATTTTGATATACTAGTACAGTGAAGGAAGATCCAGTACTTCATTTTTTGTTGAACTTCCACAGGAACATAGAACATGTTTATGATTTCCTCCTGGTTGTGGGAGTATATGTTGAGTTTCCAAAATCAATTTTCAATAACTTTAGTCTAGTATGTACTATCAACGACAAAAACCTGTTTTGTTGACGTCATCGTCAAATTCTTAATATCTACACCTTTTTTGTTGGTGTCTTTGTTAGATTTATATGTAAGTTTGTTTGAATTTTTTAGTCAGTTCAGTTGTATGTCTGTGATATATGTTTACACAGTTTTGGCTGCTGGATCCCAATTATTGTCACATTAACCTATAATTTCTGTTTGGGTTGCTCACCCAATTTTATAAACTATTGTCATACAAGTGGGAGGTTAAGCTAGCAATAAAACCAGGTTTAACACACCATTTTCTTTGGAAAATGCCTGTACAAAGTCAGGAATATGGCAGTGGGTTTTCACTTGTTCCGTTGATTAATAGCATTTGATTTTGTCAGTTTTTATGGACTTCCCCTTTTTTTATTTGCTTTAGAGTTCAGTATTTTTGTTATACTTTTTTCTTTATCGAACAGTTGATGTAATGTGATTAACAAACAAAAACGATGTTGTCCGGGTATTTTCTGAGGGACAGAAATCTTCTAATCTTGTTTTGATGTAATGACAATGTCCATTCACTCAATAATTCTTATTTCAGTGCACGCCTTTCTTCGTGTCCCCAGTGAACTTGAAGGTAACGTTAACGAGGTCTGATTCAAATCTCGAGATTTTCCTAGAAATCGACACAGATTCTAGACATAGATATGTGATATAGTATCTGTACAAACCTATAGCAACTTCCTAGCATCGTTGTCAATATAATGGAATTTGATGCGACTGTCATACAAGTGAGAGGTTTAGCGCTATAAAACCAGGTTCAATCCACCATTTTCTACATAAGAAAATGCCTGTACCTAGTCAGGAATATGACAGTTGTTGTCCATTCGTTTGATGTGTTTTAGCTTTTGATTTTGCCATTTGATTAGGGACTTTCCGTTTTGAATTTTCCTCGGAGTTCAGTATTTTTGTGATTTAACTTTTTCCTGCTTATCTTAACACTCTGATAAATCACACCAAAGGTGTAAATGAAGAAAACCTCACCGTGTTTAATGAAACACGTCATGCAATTGAATGTTATGTATGGCACGTCAAACGTTTCAATATTAAAAAAACAAATACTGATTAAAAAATTATGTTCAAAACTTACAAATATATATGCAATATTTTTCTAGTTATATTCAAAAAATAAAAATTTATGTTCAAAACTTACAAATATGTATGCAATATTTTTCTATTTATATTCAAAACTTACAAATATATATGCAATATATTTATATTTATGTTTAATACTTACAAATATATATGCAATATTTTTCTATATATATTAAAAAAATAAAAACATATGTTCAAAACTTTCAAATATACATGCAATATTTTTTTTACATACAGTCAAAAAATAAAAATTTATGTGTAATATTTTATTTCTAATTCTATCTAGATGTGGTAAAAAATATATATATTCAATAATATTGCATTCTGGGTAATATTTGTAATAACGGATTTCATTAGCTGTTGCAATTTAACGAATGCGGCACAACTCGACCCGAAGATAACTCGGACAGAGTCAAATCGGACCGACTAATAAGTCAACTCATACCGTCTACAAAGTCAACTCGGACCGTCTACAATGACAACTCAGACAAAGTATTAAAAGAGGATTTGAACTATATAAATGATTATAAATCATTAAAAGTTAAATTTAACATCTTTTTGTATACTACAATATCGTTTGCATGTTTCTGAATTTGCAAAATACAATACGTTGGCTACAAGTTAAGATAGGAGGAAAACTTAACTGAATCTATTGTATCCTTTATTTCAAGGTCGATGGAACAGATTTAATTTCACATTCAGATATATTGATGATGTTCTTTCCATTAATAATATAAACATTTCTGATTGGGTTCCATTAATATATCCCCCAGAACTAGAAATTAAAGAAACAGACACGGCTTCCTCTGCCTCATGTTTAGACTTATACCTCGCATTTGACATAAGCGGTCATCTAAGTACCAGAATCTATGACAAACGGGACGATTTTAATTTTGAAATTATCAATTTCCACTACCTTAGTAGCAATATACCAACTTCACCTGCATATAGTATATATATTTCCCAACTAATTCGGTATTAAAGAGCTTGCAGCTGCTACCCAGACTTTATAAAACGTCTCCGGTTTCTGATCAGAAAGTTGATGAACCAGGGTTATGTCAAAGAACGTCTCGTCCTTTTTCTAAAAAATTCATCGGAAGATACCAAGACCTTGTTGATAAATATTCCGTATCAACTTCACAAATAATACATGATGGTCTTGAAGTATAGATTCTAGGCACTGACGTTGTTTATCATCCTTATTACGTGTTATAGTGTTCTTTTATCTGTCTTTGTAAATTATTAACCTTTACTGTTTAGTCCATTTTTGGTAATATCCTTTTTAGCGGAGCGGTGGAGAGGACAATTTTAGAAATTTCAATTACCTACATACCTCATGGCATTAAAATAGCTCATTTGAAAGCTTAAATCGTATACTTATTGGATATATGTGTCGTAAAAGAGGGACGAAAGATACCAGAGGGACAGTCAAACTCATAGATCGAAAACAAACTGACAACGCCATGGCCAAAAATAAAAAGACAAACAGACAAATAATAGCACAGACGACACAACATAGAAAACCAAAGACTAAGCAACACGAACCCCACCAAAAACTGGGGGTGATCTCAGGTGCTCCGGAAGGGTAAGCAGATCCTGCTCCACATGTGGCACCAGTCGTGTTGCTTATGTTATTACAAATTCGGTAAATAGTCTAATTCGGTAAGTCACATTCGTGTAGTTACGACATAAGGAACATATCCGATATCATCTGTGAAACGGTTATTCCATAACGGTCAACCAACTCGTGATGGCGTCCGTAAAATTTACGAAGGGATGACTTCAACTTCACCATTTGGAACTCTTGGTTTAATAGCTTCCTAGTGAGCAGCAATCCTCTATCAAGGAAATCATGATAGGAAACACAAGCCCGGGAATATCGTATCAATTGGGAGATATATACTCCGTATGCAGGCGCTGCTGGAATGTTGCTACATAGAAATGGAAAGTTCACAATTGGGAAGCTGATATCATCTCTTTTGTCGTAAAGTTTTGTTTTCAACCGACCCTCATTGTCAATTGCTAGATGTAAGTCAAGATATGAGGCAGACTTAACTGTATCTGTAGTATCCTTTATCTCTAGTTCGATGGGATAGATTCGTTCAACATAGTCACCAAATTTTATATTATTTAGTGAGAGAACATCATCTATATAGCGGAACGTAGAGTTATTGCTAACTTCTTGTCTTTCTTCCTAAGAAGTTCCTGTATGAAGCCAGCCTCATAATAATAAAGAAACAAGTCGGCAAGAAGAGGTGCACAATTGGTTCCCATTGGAATTCCGACAGTCTGTTGAAAAACACGTCCTCCAAACGTAACAAATATGTTGTCAATCAAGAAATCAAGCATCTTGATAATGTCAGTTTCAGAGAATGTTTTGTTTGAATCAGAGTGATTCTTTACAAAGTAGGATTTATCCCTCCCCAAGACAAGATACTTGTATCTACGTTCGCCATTCTTTTTAATGAAACAAAGTAATACCAACTCTTTCAATTTGTCTTTT